TTTATCGGTTTATTTTATCATAATAAATATAAATATGTGATATGTCAATTTTGTGAAGAATTTTACAAGGAACTCGAATATATAAGTAACAATTATGAAACATTAAAATTTAACAAATATAACGTTTTTATAAAGATTTTAAGCGACTTTTTAACAATTGTTGGGTTAAAATTACGTTATTTATTAATTTAATTAATATCATCGTATTCTACGTAAAATTTTCTATAAAATTGATATATTACATGTTGACATTTTATATAAAATATTTCCCGATAAATGTGGTCACTGCGACCGAACCAGAGGTCACAGGACAATATAAATTACATATTCTGACTCAACATTGAATTGACGTTCACATACAATCAAAAAATCCCGATTGCCAGTTAGCCAATTCTGTATTGTATTATGACAGTGTTCTTTTCAAAAGTATTTTACATAAAAGTTTTTATCAAATATACAGTTTATATAAACATAATCAAAAATATATTACTGTATATATCAAAATATAGACATTCATTAAATACTTATTTGATTTGTGTTTTCTCGATAACATTTAAAATTTGTGTTATTAAATGCTACATTTATTTTAATATATAATAGTCACACAATGATTTTATTTAGGTTTAATATTTCTGTAATAACATACAACATTAAGTATTATATAATTATATTTATAATATAAATTTTTATATTGTTACTAAATTAAAAATTTGTATTTATAAAATTTATATTGTATTAGAAGTAAACTGTAAATATGTGATTATCCCTGATATCATACACATAATTAATAATTGAATTGAAAACATTTAAGTTTTCGAAACTTATGGACAGATTCTTCAATTCTTGCACTCATTTGCGATATATTAATGCATTTGACTTTCAATGACTGAATGTGTGGTAAATATGTGTGAATTGAGTCAAAGAATGTTTCACTTAATACACAGTTTTGTATCATTAGCTCAAAATGTGTTAACCGTTTCAATGCAGACAATAATTTCGGAGTCAAATCAATGCCGTGTTTGCCAGCATTTGGGAGTGTAATCATTATTAACTCGTCTTTGTATGCGTTTCATATGATTCACGGATTCAGACAACTGTTTCACTTGTAGACCAGTTGCACACCAAACACGAAACTGATATCTCTTGAGTTGTGGCCATTGAGTGACAAACTCTTGGCAGTGATAGTCAACTATAGTTTGAAAGGTTACCGCACTTAGTATTATAACTATTGTTAACTTTAGATCTCGTAATGCTTTCATTTGTGTCAATAGTTTTAATACACGAATATATTCTTCAGGAGACATATAATGATCACTAAAATTAATTGAAATAGACTTTAAGCTATTCTTATAGTAATCAACAAATGCTTGCAATCGCTGCCAATCGGATGTGTTATAAAAGAATCTAAATTCTGTCAAATTCTTGACTAATATCTCATTGTTTTCGGTGACAATCGCTGACAACATTGTATTCTTTTCGTAATCATTGGATATAAGTCTGAGTTTTGTGTAAGACTTTGAATACTTTACAAACATTTCATAACCCGATTGTGGGACTGATATAGCCGTCAATTGTGAGCCATATTTACTCAGAATTCTGTCCATTATTTTCACATCAATTTCTTTGTCAAAACTGACATCAATTGTATTCAAGTGTTTGTATGAATTCATGAGTATTTCAAACACTCTTTCCATGTCTTCTGAATCGATGTCAATATAAACGGATGTAATGTTTACACACTTTCTGACCATTGATTCAAATAGTTTCCAATTATTGTCGGAAATCTTAATAACATCTCTTAATCGCAGTGTTTTCAGCGGTATATCACTCATAGAGAAGGTATGTCTTCGCGTGAATACACATCTCATCCACTGTTTGGACAGACATTCAAATCGGAAACAGTCTTCGAGTGACAGATAAGACAATACGAGTCCACACAAGTCATCACCAAATCTGTCGAACGAGTCCTTCGGATATTCCTCTTGAGTGCCATTCGTGTCATTCCTCGATGTCTTAGTCTTAAACCCAAACAACGCAAGTAATGCCTAAATGTGTGACACATGAGAGGGTGTATTGAATGGACTTTCATTACAAGTAAAACAAACCTTTTTTGCAGACATTTGTCACAATCTTCTGGATCTCTATTCAAGAATTTTAATACAAGAATATCATGTATTTTATGATTAAATGAATTATTAGTTTGAAAACAAAAATATCATTTGAAACACATTTCATGCAAACTTGTCATTCAATGTAAACAAATAAATAGCATATGATTTGTGGACATTTTACTACACTGTTATGCACACTCATAATATACTCACAAACATAGTGATTACGTACGTAAGTAGTGATTTCCCCTATTCATTCACAACACGTTATTATTAGTGAACACAGAATATATAAAACATCAAGAATTTATTGAATAAGTTAAAATTAGATGCTATTATCATAGATTAAATCAGTCATAATAATATATTTTAAACATTAAGTTAATTTTAAAATAATCAATTTAATAACCAGTACACAAATACAGTAAACATCATTTTCAAATACAGTATATTTTCACAATCCATATGTAAATAATAATTGCAATGTTTGTCACATAATTTAATGTATTTAATTATACAGTAGCAGTACATTGACATAAGTGTGTCAATCTATCTAGATAAATTTTATATAATTTAATACCATCCTGATACGTATAATTAATTAATTATTACAATTAAATATTTTACTGTATTTAATATTTAAAATAAATGTCAATTTTTGTATCCAATGTAACATTTTTAATAATACTTATGCATTACTGCATTCTCACTAATACAACCATATTCATGTAATACTGATACTTCAAATAATGTAAGTCTGAATGGAAAACTTTTAAGTTTTGGTAACTTTTTGATGGACTTTTCAATGTTGGCACTCATTTGAAACCATCCTGGTAAATTTAAACTACTAATTTTCAACGTCTCAATGTGTGGTAAATGTGTGTGAATTGAGTCAAAGAATGTCTCATTGAATAGACAATTCCCCAACTCTAAGTACAAATGTGTTAACCGTTTCAATGGAGACAATGATTTCGGTGTCAAATCAACTCTCCACTCTTCGGTTACATTCCTATCCATAGACAGTATTAACTCAAGTCTTTGCAAACGTTTCATACGATTCACGGATTCATACAATTGTGTCACTTGTGCCTCACTTTCACACTGCGTTTGCAAATTATATCTCTTGAGTTGTGGCCATTTAATGACAAACTCTTTGCAGTGATAGTCAACAAATGTTTTAAGGGATTCTAAATCCCTAATTAAAAATATTTTAACATTTAGTTCTCGTAATGCTTTCATTTGTGTCAAGAGTTTCAATACACGAATATATCCTTCGGTAGACATATAGTAAAACGAGAATTGAATTGAAACAGACTTTAAGCTATTCTTATAGTAATCAACAAATGCTTGCAATCGCTGCCAATCACAGTCTCTGTAAACAAACTGAAATTCTGTCAAATTCTTGACTAATATCTCATTGTTTTCGGTGACAATCGCTGACAATAGACTAATGTCTTTTGAACTAGATAAAATAATTGCTGACAAAAGATTCCGATTATAATAATTTGATAAATGTCTGAGTTTTGTGTAAGACTTTGAGTGCTTTCTAAACACTTGATAACCAGATTCCGGAAGTGATAGTGTAGTCAATTGTGAGCCGCATTTACACAGAATTCTGTCTATTATTTTCACATCAAGTTTGTCATCAAATCTAACGTCAATAGCAATCAACGAGTGTTTGTATGAATTCACGAGTATTTCAAACACTTTTCCCATGTTTTTTGAATCAATGGAAATACGAATGTCTCTAATGTTTGGACACTTTCTGACCACTGATTCAAATGCTTTCCAATTATAACCCAAAATCTTATTCCCTTTCAATCGACGCGTTATTAGCATTATATCCCTGAAAGAGAGGGCATGTCTTCCCGTGAATACCAATCGCTTCCACTGTTTGGACAGACATTCAAATCTGAAACAGTCTTTGAGTGATAGATAAGACAATATCTCTTCGCATAAGCCATCACCGAATCTGTCGAATGAGTTCTTCGGATATTCTTTGAGTGACTTATTAGACAATAACTCTTTGCATAAATCGTCACTAAATCTGTTCAAAGAATTCTTCGTATATTCCTCTTCAATAGAATTCATGGCATTCGTAGATATGTTTGTCTTAAACCCAAATAAAGCCATTAATGCCTAAATAGGTGGAAACATATGGATACATAAGAAGGTGTATTGAATTCATTATTCATTAGTTAAATAAAACAAACCCTTTTAGCATTTGACATTTTTTCCAAGATTATTATAATCAAATGATTAATTGAATGAATTCTTAGATTTATTTACGATTATATAAAGTATATATAAAATTATTATTCAATGCAAACAAACATAACATTGGATTTGTGGACATAAATGATGTGACAATACGTGTGAGTATTATATGAGTGTTTGTATCACTAATGCATGCATTCATCACTAAAGGGGATTAGAAAGTGTGTAAACATTACATCCGTTTATATTGACATCGATTCAGAAGACATGGAAAGAGTGTTTGTATCACTAATGCATGCATTCATCACTAAAGGGGATATCATTTGTATTGACGTTATTATAAGTGAACATAGAATAACTGCATAACAATTATTCTTTTAATTTTCAATTCAATTACATGAAGTCATCTGGATAGTTTAGCAATTAAGTTATAATAAATAAAAATAATAAAATAAACCTCAATCCAGACAACGATATGATCAAATATTTATTTATTCTGTATAACAACTATTGTGTTTTAATTATTATCAAAAAACATAATTATTGACTTAAATAATTCATACATTTTTAAGAATATAAAATTGTTATAGTGAAATATAATTTAATTTAATTAAAAACTAACTTGTGTAATAAAATAAAAATATTGAATCCTTGGTATAAATCAGTTGACATTTTCTGTGTTACTAAAGTTTGCGTTTAATTTCAAACATTTAAGTTTTGGCAACTTTTTGACCGATTTCTCAATACTGGCACTCATTTCCAGTAAATTCTTGACATTCAACACCTGTAGGTGCGGTAAGTATGTGTGAATGGAGTCAAAGAATGTCTCATCCATTAAACAGTTCTGTATTCGTAGCGATAAATGTGTTAATCGTTTCAATGGAGACAATGATTTCGGTGTCAATTCAATGGTGTCTTCACTGGCCTTCGGGAATGTCATGACATCTCTTGAAGAGTGATCTGAACTGAAACAGAGTTTAATGTATTTCTATAGTAATCAACAAATGCTTGCAATCGCTGCCAATCAGAGGCGAAGTAATAGAATCTAATTTGAGTCAAATTCTTGACTAATATCTCATTGTTTTCGGTGACAATCAGTGATAAGAGACTCTCCTTATAATTATTAGACAATACCCGGAGTTTACTGAAAGACTTTGAATGCTTTATAAACACTTCATAACCCGATAGCGGGACTGATATAGACGTTAATTGTGAGCCATATCTACACAGAATTCTGTCCATTATTTTCACGTCAATAGCGGTACTAAAACTGACATCAATTCGCTTCAAATTCTTGTAGGAATTGACGAGTATTTCAAACACTCTTTCATTCGCTTCGGAGTGGATGTGAATATCAATGGATGTAATGTTTGCACACTTCTTGACCACTGATTCCAATGCTTTCAGATTATTGTCGGAAATATTATTATTATCTCTGATTTGCCACATCTTTAGCCTTATGTCACCGACAGAGAGGGTATGTCTTCGCGTGAATACACATCTCATCCACTGTTTGGACAGGTATTCAAAGTTGTGGCTGTCTTTCAGTGACAGATAAGACAACTGATTTGCCACATCTTTAGCCTTATGTCACCGACAGAGAGGGTATGTCTTCGCGTGAATACACATCTCATCCACTGTTTGGACAGGTATTCAAAGTTGTGGCTGTCTTTCAGTGACAAATAAGACAACACGAGTCCACACAAGTCATCACCGAATCTGTCGAACGAGTCCTTCGTGTATTCCTCTGGAGTGTCATTCGTGTCATTCCTCGATGTCTTAGTCTTGAACCCAAACAACGCAAGTAATGCCTAAATGTGTCAATACATGCATCACATGAAGAGGGCGTGTATTGAATGGACTTTCACTGAGAAATACAAACCTTTTTCGCAGACATTTGCCACAACCGTATGGATCCACTTCTTGTAATATTATGTCCACGAGATTATGAACATTATGTTCATTGGATTAATTCAATTGAATTAATACTCAAATAATAGTTTTATGAGACTTTTGACAGGATTTCCTGCCATTCATTGAATGACTCATTTATATGGCATTCACTGGAAGCACACATAACATTGAATTTGTGGACATAAATGATGTGACAATACGTGTGAGTATTATATGGGTGTTTGTATCACTAATGCATGCATTCATCACTAAAGGGGATATCATTCACAACACGTTATTATTAGTGAACACAGAATATTAAACACAGAATTTATCAAAGGGCACAACATTTATATTGACGTTATTATTAGTTAATACAGAATATTTAAAACTTCAAGAATTTATTCATTGAATAAAAAATAAAATGAAATCATTCATATTAATTCATTACCTTAAACACAGAGTTAGCTTTAAAATAGTTAATTTAATAATTTATATTTCAAATAAACATAATTTTTCATAATATTTTCACAGCACATAGTTTATGTAAATAATAATTACAAATATTTGTCATAAACCTTGTATTTAATTAAAATAGTATTATAGTTATACAGTATACATAAGCCATTATCATTAATAGATTGTCAATCCAGGTAAATTTCTAAAAATTTAAGAATCCTTATTTAATTTATTGAGTATTACAAGTAGATATCTCACTGTATTTAATATTTAAAAGTTTAATATTTTTTCCAATACTGTATACTGTATACAGTATCACTTTCGTAATCACTTATATATTTAATAATACTCATGCATTATTGTACCCACATCCATATTACGTCCACCATATTTGCACCAAATTGATACATCTTGTAGTGTAAGTCTTAATGGAAAACTTTTAAGTTTTGGTAACTTTTTCATAGACTCGTCTATATTGGCACTCATTTGTATCGGAAATAAACTGCTGGCTCTCAACGTCTGAATGTGTGGTAAATGTGTGTGAATTGAGTCAAAGAATGTCTCATTTAATAAGCGGTTCGTCAGCCCTAACCACAAATGTGTTAACCGTTTCAATGAAGACAATGATTTCGGTGTCAATTCAACACTTGACTCTTGGGTTTCCGGTTTTGTAGGTATTAATAACTCCAGTCTTTGCAAACGTTTCATACGATTCATGGATTCATACAATTGTATCAATTGTTCGTCTGTTTCACAATATATATCCAAATGATATCTCTTGAGTTGTGGCCATTGATTGACAAACTCTTTGCAGTGATAGTCAACCAAAGTTTGATAGTTTTGCAGATATACGACAACAGTTATAAGATTTAGTTCTCGTAATGCTTTCATTTGTGTCAACAATTTAAATACACGGATATACTTCTCGGTAGACATGCAAAAAGACTTTTGAATTGAAACAGAATTTAATGTATTCTTATAGTAATCAACAAATGCTTGCAATTGCTGCCAATCACGGTCTCTGTAAACGAAGTGAAATTCTGTTAAATTCTTGACTAAAATCTCATTGTTTTCGGTGACAATCACTGACAATAGACTCAATTGTCTAGAATTATGAAAACTAATTGCTGCCAAAAGATTCCGATTGTAATAATTTGATAAAATCTTGAGTTTTATATAAGTCTTTGAATGCTTTCTAAATACTTTATATCCGGACGTTGGGATTGATATAGCAGTCAATTGTGAGCCATATTTACAAAGAATTCTGTCCATTATTTTCACATCAAGAAAGTCATCAAATCTGACGTCAATAGCAATCAACGAGTGTTTGTATGAATTCATGAGTATTTCAAACACTTTTCCCATGTTTTTTGAATCAATGGAAATACGAATGTCTCTAATGTTTGGACACTTTCTGACCACTGATTCAAATGCTTTCCAATTATTACCCAAAATCTTATTCCCTTTCAATCGACGCGTTATTAGCATTATATCCCTGAAAGAGAGGGCATGTCTTCCCGTGAATACCAATCGCTTCACTTTCTGACCACTGATTCAAATGCTTTCCAATTATTACCCAAAATCTTATTTCCTTTCAATCGACGCGTTATTAGCATTATATCCCTGAAAGAGAGGGCATGTCTTCCCGTGAATACCAATCGCTTCCACTGTTTGGACAGACATTCAAATCGGAAACAGTCTTCGAGTGACAGATAAGACAATATCTCTTCGCATAAGTCATCACCTTATCCCTGAAAGAGAGGGCATGTCTTCCCGTGAATACCAATCGCTTCCACTGTTTGGACAGACATTCAAATCGGAAGCAGTCTTCGAGTGACAGATAAGACAATATCTCTTCGCATAAGTCATCACCAAATCTGTGGAATGAGTTCTTCGGATATTCTTTGAGTGACTTATTAGACAATAACTCTTCGCATAAATCGTCACTAAATCTGTTCAAAGAATACTTCGGATATTCCTCTTCAGTAGCATTCATGGCATTCGTAGATATGTTTGTCTTAAACCCAAATAAAGCCATCACTGCCTAAATAGATGCAAAACATATGGAATCCATATTACGGTATGAATAAATAATAAAGTGTACTGGATGACTATTTTAAATATATAAAACAAACCCTTTTTGCATTTGACATTTTTTCCAAGATTATTATAATCAAGTGATTAATTGAATGAATGCTTAGATTTATTTAAGATTATATAAAGTATTTATAAAATTATTATTCAATGTAAACAAACATAACATTAGATTTGTGGACATAAATGATGTGACAATACGTGTGAGTATTATATGAGTGTTTGTATCACTAATGCATGCATTCATCACTAAAGGGGATATCATTTGTATTGACGTTATTATAAGTGAACACAGAATAACTGCATAACAATTATTCTTTTAATCTTCAATTCAATTACATGAAGTCATCTGGATAGTTTAGCAATTAAGTTATAATAAATAAAAATAATAAAATAAACCTCAATCCAGACAACGATATAATAAAATATTTATTTATACTGTATAACAACTATTGTGTTTTAATTATTATCAAAAAACATAATTATTGACTTAAATAATTCATACATTTTTAAGAATATAAAATAGTTATAGTGAAATATAATTTAATTCAATTAAAAAATAACTTTTGTAATAAAATAAAAATATTGAATCCTTGGTATAAATCAGTTGACATTTTCTGTGTTACTAAAGTTTGCGTTTAATTTCAAACATTTAAGTTTTGGCAACTTTTTCACCGATTTCTCAATACTGGCACTCATTTCCAGTAAATTCTTGACATTCAACACCTGTAGGTGCGGTAAGTATGTGTGAATTGAGTCAAAGAATGTCTCATCCATTAAACAGTTCTGTATTCGTAGCGATAAATGTGTTAATCGTTTCAATGGAGACAATGATTTCGGTGTCAATTCAATGGTGTCTTCACTGGCCTTCGGGAATGTCATGAGTCAAAGAATGTCTCATCCATTAAACAGTTCTGTATTCGTAGCGATAAATGTGTTAATCGTTTCAATGGAGACAATGATTTCGGTGTCAATTCAATGGTGTCTTCACAGGCCTTCGGGAATGTCAACAGAAATAACTCCAGTCTTTGTAAGCGTTTCATACGATTCACGGATTCATACAATTGTCTCACTTGTGGTGCACTTTGACACCAAACACGCAAATGATATCTTTTAAGATGTGGCCATTGATTGACAAACTCTTTGCAGTGATAGTCGACGACATTGCGAAGGATTTCCATATTTTGTATTAAAATGACGGTAAGACTTAGTTCTCGTAATGCTTTCAATTGTGTCAATAGTCTTAAGACACGAATACATTCTTCGGAAGACATCTCTTGAAGAGTGATCTGAACTGAAACAGAGTTTAATGTATTTCTATAGTAATCAACAAATGCTTGCAATCGCTGCCAATCAGAGGCGAAGTAATAGAATCTAATTTGAGTCAAATTCTTGATTAATATCTCATTGTTTTCGGTGACAATCAGTGATAAGAGACTCTTCTTATAATTATTAGACAATACCCGGAGTTTACTGAAAGACTTTGAATGCTTTATAAACACTTCATAACCCGATAGCGGGACTGATATAGCCGTTAATTGTGAGCCATATTTAGACAGAATTCTGTCAATTATTTTCACGTTTTCGGTACTAAAACTGACATCAATTCGCTTCAAATTCTTGTAGGAATTGACGAGTATTTCAAACACTCTTTCATTTGCTTCTGAATGGATTTGAATATCAATGGATGTAATGTTTGCACACTTCTTGACCACTGATTCTAATACTTTCAGATTATTTTCGGAAATATTATTATTATCTCGGATTTGCCACATCTTTAGCCTTATGTCACCGACAGAGAGGGTATGTCTTCGCGTGAATACACATCTCATCCACTGTTTGGACAGGTATTCAAAGTTGTGGCTGTCTTTCAGTGACAAATAAGACAACTAACTGACATCAATTCGCTTCAAATTCTTGTAGGAATTGACGAGTATTTCAAACACTCTTTCATTTGCTTCTGAATGGATTTGAATATCAATGGATGTAATGTTTGCACACTTCTTGACCACTGATTCCAATACTTTCAGATTATTTTCGGAAATATTATTATTATCTCTGATTTGCCACATCTTTAGCCTTATGTCACCGACAGAGAGGGTATGTCTTCGCGTGAATACACATCTCATCCACTGTTTGGACAGGTATTCAAAGTTGTGGCTGTCTTTCAGTGACAAATAAGACAAC